AGTAAATACATATACATTTTTTGAATGCAACTCAAAATATAGATGTTACTGACGTCTGTATTTTGCAATTGAAATATTTTTCAATAGAATTCCTTAAGGTCGATTTTAACATTGTTCTCCCTACTCTCTGGAACTTGTACACTTGTTAGCGGGACATTACGTAAAGCAGAAAATGTCTTCTCCTGTGTATCCCATAATCTCTTTCAGTGAGTTTTCCCAACCAAAATTTTGTGTTCGTCTGTAATGAAACATCCAAAAATTCATACTGTCTCTTCTTAAATGTTCATAAGGTTTACATTGCACTGTTAAACAGGTAAGACATCACCCATATGTTAGAGAAAATGATGCATGCAAACCCGTTATCATCGAGACGCTGAAGTTTCTGGAGGAGTCAGAAACAATCTTGGCGTACGACGGGGAATATCGGACTCCGAAGTTTGCCATCCCGCGAATCCCTCATGACATTATCTTTGTTATTGGAGGATGGACCACGGAAATTGTCACTGATTCGATCGAAACATACGACACGCAGGCAGACCGATGGATTAAGGTGAGTGCCACACAACTGCTCCTTTTTGAATAATATCTGCACAAAAAACCTTTTTCTCTTTGCTTATTTCTGCCACATAATTGTTGTTCTTATTTCATTACAAGTATTTGAACCCTCTTTGCCTATTTTTTCGCCTCAATTTATTTGCATTGGATCGGAACGTTCTTTAAAAATAAGTTGCAGACACGAGAATTAAACCGAATAAATAAATTAAATAAACGTTTCTCGTATGTGAAATATGTGTTCAAATTGGAGTCCACAAAATAAATTTTGTTCGCCACATACAACATTTATTACAAACGTCCTACATGAAATGTAATAACAACTTGTCTGGTGAGTTTGGACCTCAAACGAAATTATTGTTGTCCATCATTGTTATTTTGAACATTATAAATTACGTTAAGTATTGAGTAGCGAGAATGTTCGTTATTCGGGTGGTAACGTCGTTTGAAATGATAAGTAATTTCATTTTTTCGGTGGAACGTACTGCCTTCAGCTTCGCGTCGTTAAAACCCCTATCGACAACAGCTGTCTTCATCGCCGTGATAGCCTCATATGTCAGAAATGTATAACATAGTCCACATTCGTCTGAGAGTAGAGACAACACTGGAGTAGAATAGCAGTATATCAGTTACCTACAGACTTCAAGAAAACATTAGTCAATTCCACCATTGCTTCTCACGACATTTCTCGCGTGCGGTAGGCCGGGCCAGCCAGCACGGTGTAGCATATTCGACCTCTGCTCCCTCAGTTCTCCAGAATCTTAGGTAAATAGTTAAACTTTGGTGGACCTCACGAACAAAATAATTATACGTGTGCCCGTATTATGTCGTTGTTGTAGATGGAAGAGGGAGACCCGATGGGACCGCGAGTCCACCATGGCAGCGCAGTAGTCGGTTATAACATTTACGTCATCGGTGGTTTTGACCGCTTTAAATCCTTGAACTCAGTCAGCTGCTTCAACGCAGTTACAAAGAAATGGCGCGAGGTGGGGCCCATGAATGACCGCAGGTAAGACACAACTCACAGACTAACGTACTCCGTCCTTCTTGAAAAGCTGATAGTTGTTCTGCTCGTCAAGAAATATATGTGTACAATGGCTACAACCTGTACCGCTCACATACAGAAACATTCAGTACAGTGTAAATAAATGCACTTGCCTTGGTCTTCGTTAAAACCCGAATAGAAAACAGTTACTATTTCGTTCTTAGTTTCTCCAGGTTTTAAGTATATGATTTTCTTGCTAACTCATTTGAGCTACGATTCAACAGTAGATAATGCAGAGTGAAGTTCTGCGAAAGCGAATCTGTTTGTGTGAGCAACTAATGAGCGTCAAAGCCTGAGGAGCGTGAAGCATATCAACGTCTGTACTCTTTTGTTTCAGAGCGTACGTCAGTGTGGCAGTGCTCGAGGGTCTGGTGTACGCTGTTGGTGGCTACACTGACAAGCGTCGACATAGAACGGCCGAGCGATACGACTACAGGAGGAACCAATGGTCGATGATCGCTTCTATGAACACGCGGCGATCTGACGCAAGTGCGACTGCACTCAATGGTAAAGAGAATCTTGTGAAACAGAACCGATTAAATTAATGAATAATGGCGACGCTATCAGAACTACGAGATAGAATCCAGTTACACCTGCAGGTGATAGAGCGCAGTAAGATCCAGTAACAGACCAAGAGGAATTATTTTATAGAAATTCGTCTGCTTACAGTTGCTAGGACATTAAATGCATTCACAACTACAAATTGTCCCACATCTGTACTATGTACGGATCGGTACAATTATTATACTTAGTACATATGAAACATGTTATAACATTTGTGTCATAGAGCTGGTCTCTCTTTACAGATAAAATCTACGTCGTTGGTGGAATGAATGGCCAAGAATATTTGGCCTCAGCAGAGGTGTATGACCCACAGACGAACGAATGGACAAACATTTCACCGATGTCTTCCCCACGGAGCGGCCTGTCTTGCGTCGCTTTCCAGGGCAGTGTGTACGCCGTAGGTAAGAACTTGCGATTTTGTGATCAGTATTTTTCTCCTGCTTTTACCTCTTATTATGTGATTTGTGTATCGAGGTTTCGATTACTTTCTCCACAATTCTCACTAACAAAAACAACGCGTAATCTTTTCTTGTATTCCTATTATAATATGCCTCAATAGTCACGGGAGTCACTCGTCACTCGTCAGTTGGTCTAGGAATGTGATGAAAGGGAGTACGTTGTTGATAAGTGGGTTCGGAATGCTTTCAACACATGTTTCAATTTTGTAATTATAATCTTCATATGTAACTGTAATCTAATATGCAAATTGAACGTGGTATTAAACTTGGGTTGGGTGACAGCGTAGTTCAGGACAATCTTCTTGTAGTGGCGTACTGTATAAAAGAACTACTGAGCTGTGAGGTTCGTGTTTCATAAATTCCATTGTTCACTAATCGAGCTATAAGGACGAGAAAATGTGCTTCATCATAGCCATTTTATTCTTGATTTTGTACCTGTTGCAAATACGAACATTGCAAAAAGGAGTGAATTGGTTTCTTCTCATTAATGTGGTTTTAGACATTTTTTGTTTCATTCATTGGTTTGTTCATTACGTGGACCGAATTTAATATGTTAGAAGCATAAAACCATACGATGGGGTGGGCGGAGTATGTAGTACGCAAGGAATATAAGAGAAATGCGAAGTATTAATCTGAAAACCGAAGGGAAGAGACCAAGCAAATAGGAGGATAATATTAAAAGTGAATTTAGAAAAAAATAAGTTACGTGAGAACGGTCGAATGATGGGATCTTGAGAACGTGGTAATGAACATTCTGGTCCCCATAACTCATATGCAGTTGGTGATAGTGAGAACGTGGTAATGAACATTCTGGTCCCACTGAAGGGCAGAAATTCCTTGAAAAGTTCAAGGAGTGATAATTATCGGCAAGGACCCTGCTGAATGGACTTGGAACGCGTTTTGTTCGCCAGCCCACTTTTGTATTCTGTGACCTAACACAGAGCATTTCTACCTGCAGGAGGATTTGTTGAATCCTTTGTCACTTTGAGCAGTTGTGAGAAATACAACCCAGAAACAGACACGTGGACCGAGATCTCCCACCTGCTTCATCCACGTGGCTTCTTGGCCCTTCAAGTGATTGACGACGCCATTTTCGCCATCGGTGGTTTCAGAAAGGACGAGAGCTATTGCCGAGTGGAGTGTTTTGACTGCAGCAAAAATGAATGGTTTGTTTGTTTGTTAGTTCAGAATCTTTTCAAAAACTATAACGTATGAAGCATGAACAAGTTATTTTCGATCAATGTGACCAGTCCTACGGAGTCTTTTGGACTTGTGGGCTCTTAGAAACTTTTCGACGTTTCAGAGGCGTTTGCTGCATCCATCACCTCGGCTGTAAGTAAGCCGCAAGGTAAAGGTGGTTTGGGGTTGACTGTTGCCACGAGAGGGGGCGAGACAATGTTTCTATCAAGTTCGGTCATTAAATCCAAGGTATAAGGTTTAAGTATCAGGCTTCGACGTCCCTTCTGCCGGAATACAGAGCAACCCGGTCAAACGTCGAAGACGTTTTGTGTCAACACAGATGACAAGTCACAAAGATAATACCTACGGAATTATTCGACACAGCAGACATCTTAGAACCACAAAAAACGCATTTTTGAAGAAAATTGTTAAGTTTTTGTACATAATAGTACTGGCATTCTTTCGTTAAACTTAGGTAATGTAAATTTAAAAGAAAAATATTTAAGGGTGAATATAAAGGTCTTGATAAGTTTCTTTTCTTTATTTATTTTGTCATGAAGGGCTTACGTATTTTCCGTGGTTCTGTCTTTATGTGAGACGAAATTGGTTTTGAGCTTTTGATGATGTGTAACTTTCCTTATTTTCACTTGCAATTTTTCTCAAACTGCAGGTACGAGGTTGAGGGCATGAATACATGTAGAACTGGGTTGTCGGCCTGTGTAGTCAAGGGACTTCCCAATGTAGGCGACTACATCTACAAACACAGGGATCTGTTAATGGAGGAGGATCGGCAGAGACTGCTGAAGGAGTTGGAAAAAAAATGGGAAGAAAGGAAACAGCAAAACCAAGATCTCGACGACGTTTACCCCGAATAAGACATAAATAACCTTTATCAAGATGTCAGTTTTGAAGACGACATCTAGGTTCACCACGATAATGATGATAATAGTATATAGTGGGCGTGGTAGGACATCAGCAGAGTGATAAGAAAGACGGCAAACGATAAATAAAATATTGTATTAATCTAAGAAGTGTTTTATGTTGAATACGTATTATTGAACTGTGTTATTTTGAAAAGGTTTAATTCTGTTACAGAAACGAAAATAAAACTGTAGATAAGGCATAAGGCGAAGCACTTTATTGTTAACATTAAACTGTATTGACTATTTTTTTGCACGGTTGCCTGTAGAGTAAGGAATTATGCAGAATAAAACAGTGAACTTTATTTGTCTGTCCTAACTGTGTGTAAAATCCTTTCAAGCTGACGCTCGCGTACCCCAACCTCAAAGAAAACACAAAGCGTTTCCATAACAACGATCAGTTGGTTAATGCTGTTCACGGAGGTAATCCCTGTTTATTCTGAAAATCGTATAAAACCCATAAATACACCTTAAGGACAAAATGCAGAGATGCTGATTTTTAAAGCGGGTAGTACGTGCAATTGCTACTGGGCTTTCAGGAATCAAAGTTCTTTAAAGTAACCAGAGTGACCTTGACTCGTGTAACACATTGACCTTCACTGAACTTCCGAAGGAACAACAGTGTTGCTACTTCACATCGAGATATCGAGGGACGTATGAATTAATTGGCCAGTCAGGATGGAAATAGCAAAGATTGAATCGGCCCTCCCTTCCTAACACTGTATATCCCGTCTGATTTCCACCGTTATTTCAGCCCTGAAGATGGAGACAGTACTCTTCTCCGAAACGTTGACACCCACCGGCCAGTCCACACGGCGCCAGAACCCAAAAGAACATCAATATTGTCAAAGCCATCAGAAACTGTAAAAAATGCAAACACCCACACCATTTCCTTTTTGCGACCAGCGCGCATTCTGGTGTCGAAAAGTGACCTCAGTTTTTCTCGTTCGTACGTGTTTTACAGTGTGTTAAGACCAAGGGCGTGGCGTCTCAGGTAGGGCAGTCGCAATGACAATGACCAGCGTTTCGGAGAAACATGCTGTGTCCATCTTCAGGACCGAGTCATCTACCCACAAGTCGACACTATGATACTTCTGAGAAGACCAACATCGACAATTCACCCAATTGTTGATCATTTCCTTTTCAGAAAATATACGTAGTTCATGTCACACAACGTTACCTCAGCTATGCTAGAATATTTGGAGTGCAGGGGGGCACGTATAAGAAATAGACGGCACAGAAAGCGACCCTTATAAGGGCCCCTTTCTCTTATCATCTCCATTTCCGACAAATCTGGCGAGGATGTGGATCTTCCCCTCTCTCCTAATGGCTGCTTTGCTGTTATCCGTTCCTTGTTTAATTCCCCGTTGGTCCACTGACGCTTCTGCCTTGATTTCAACACGATTGATTCTTCGGGCCCAGGACTCCGCCCACAGCTTTTGTTTTCTGTTGTCGTAATTGTCTTCAGTCTCTTCACTTAGTCCTGATAATGCAGGCAGCGAGGACCTCTGCAGTATAATCCGGACGTCAGCGATTCCCTGGGGAACGGAATTTTAGGCTGCCGAGGTACTTAACATCGAATCCATGATAACAATATCACGTGTTATTTAGCAACTGAAACCAGCCAATTCCTGATAGGGTGGACATTCTGAAGTTCAGAGCCTTCGAAATCAAATGCGGTCTATTACCCTGTAAGACGTTGGTTAATCTCGCACGTATCTCGTTTGTGCTTCCAGAAGCTGAGAAGTTGGAGGTCGTGTCCGATCACTGTGCAAATTGCACCTTCTATCACGTGGCAGCCCACAATTCTCTCGCACATCAAACGATTCGGAATCTGAAGTTCAATATTTCATCGCCATCTTACCGACACTTGGATCTTCCATTGACACACTGCCTAAGGCACAGAAGCAGTCATTCAGAATTATAGGAACTAACAAGGAGTCACGCGAAAACAAAAACAATGCACACATTGTTCAAACAGCGGGGGCTATGTCGATTATACACATCATTTTTCTGTAGCAACTAAATTGCTACGTTCTGGGACATGCTTGGCGTCTCGCCTCGCTGCTTCGTCTGAGCTTAAATTAAATTAAATCCGTGGCGTAACAGCTCCAGAGAGCCAAAGCCGACTAGCTTGACTGCTGGCCTCACGTTCACGATCATCCAACCAGATATAGGGTGACGTGTGGTCAGCACGACGAACCCCCAGCCATTGCTAGCTTTCCTGACCGGATTACGCTACTCATTGTAGCTCCCCAATTTCCTCACGATGCTGGGTTGGCACCGGTCCCATACACTGGTCGAAAGCTCATGAGAAAATTTCTTCTCCCCCGAGACTCCAACCAGCGCGCATTCCGTATCGTTGGTCCGAAGCATGATGCCTCAGACCGCGCGGCTACGGCGCGGGACTCTTCGTCTGAGCTTAGTGCGGAAATTCCCTCTTCTGGATCACTAAGAGCCGCATCATCTCTTTGCTTGTGTGTAGTAAGACTTTCTTTACTTGCAGACTTTCGTTATTTACACTACTGAACTTGCGCAAAACGTTCATCATTTCACCCAGGATCAGATTTTCAAAACAAACCACGTCCTCTGTTTTCCGTCCTGAGGACACACATGATTTGAGTCATCCATATCATTCGCGTCGGAAATTAGTCCCTGGCTTTGAACGGAGACTTCTTAGATCTGGTCATCCGTTGTAATGTTTTGAATTGCTTTTTGGTTTTTTCATGAACAGTTATTTCGTATTATATTTGCGGAAGTTCGTTATTGGCTCGCTGATGCGTGCGCCCTCCAGATCCTGAACTTCGCCCCTTAACGAACCTGCTCTTCTAGACATGATCGCACCTCGACATTGGAGTGATCTGGAAAAATTGGTTCCCGACAGCTTACAACTCTGACCTATGCCTCCTAGTGGCATGCCCCGAAAATGTGTCGACCCATAGGCTAAACTAGGTGCCTTGCTAGGTGCAATGAGTGTGGGAACACTAAAGGCTTCGGGAGAGAAGGCTGAAAGAAAACTGTAGCCTGTTCTATGGGCTGTGAGGTGGCAGCCCCACCATAGGACTACGCCTCGAATGATTGGTTATCATTCAGCCGGGAAAAATTAAGAACTCGGATACTCTAAGTGACCTGGCGGATCCCAATGGTTACACAACAAGAAGGAAAAAGAATAATTCTTTGGCTCCTGATGGTAAACTAAGCATAGGGACCGGGAATGTATGTGTTGTTTGTAATAGAACGATCAAAAGAAAGAGAAGAACGTAAAGTAGATATAATAATTCTCACTGAAACAGAGAAAAATCCTCAAATGAACACAAGAATTTTATCATTTTACGCTCGTGTATAGTGAATGGTGTTACACAAAGGGTTAGAGCTCAATCTGGAGAAGCGATATTAATAAGCCATAAGTGGAAAAATAAAATGCACAGTTAACCAATTCATTAATAGCAGAGTTATGACAGTCGGACCTAAAGTGCCTATAGGCTATATAGGATTTGTGGTTTCCACGGCGGTGTGTTTGAAGAGTGCCGTCTTCTGGGTTGTTGCGCTGCGGTGGACATCTACCAGACTACGCGGCGCAACAACCCAGAGGACGGCAATCTTTTGCCTAGGGGCTGTTTAACTGTCATTGGTACTTACGCTACCGAAGAGCGTAGGGATGAAGATTTTGATTAATTTTATGAAACCTTACGAAAGGAAATGAACAGCACAAATAAAAACGATTATCTATTATTGTGAGGAGATCTCAATGCCAGAACCTGCAACAACGCAATATCAGACTTATTAGAAACCAATGGTGAATATATCCTAAACTGAAACGGCGAAGCATAAAGGGATTTTGTGGCATTGATTGAATTAAAAATTACTAACATATTTTTCAGGCATAAAGACATTCATAAACAAACTTGGCATGGAGGAAACTCAAAAATACTAATTGAATTCATTATTATCAACAAGAAATTAAACGATGCTGTTACAGACAGAAGAGATTATAGAGGAAAAGATATTAATTCAGATCACTACCTGTTAATAAAAAAAATTACATAATCAAAAGATGGAAGCACTGTCTTAAGAAACACAAACCAACCGAAGAATCTTACAATGTTCACTTGCTTCAAAAAGAAAGCACAAGAAATTTGTATCAGAGGAGATGAAATGAATATGAATATATACACCAAACTGCAGAAACATTGAACATTGAAGAGAAATGGGAGGATTTTCAGAATTTAATTTTCAGGGTCGCAGGGGAAGTGCGCAGTACAAGGGAAAAACTAAACGATTAAAGTTTGGAATGATGAGTTACACACTGCTATTAAGGAAAGAAAAGGAACACTACTTCAAATACCTACAGATCCAAGACAAAACGGCGGATTACAAAAAGGCGCGTGCAGCAGTGAAAAGATTAGTACGAAAAGCAACAGAGAAGCATCGGATCGATAAGTAGGTACGTTATATCATGATATTATTCATGGTCGACAAGATTTTGCGTACAAAGTCATAAAACATTTAAATAAAGAGGAAAAATGACATAGCAAACATAGAGGCAATAAAAGAATAATAATATTGACATCCCCCTCTCAGAAACTTGTATACAAATAACAAACACTTACTCGGAGAAATTAACTCAACATTAATAGAACTTGATATTACAGGATTTAATGAGCTGGACGAAATAATGACAATATTAAAAATTAAAAAAAAAGCAACAGGTATTGACATCATGAACATCGAACTTTCAAAATATGACCCCATAAGTGTTAAACACAGATTTTTAGACATAATAAATATTTTCTGCAGAACATACTATATCCCAAAATCATGGCTAACAGCACTAATTACAACTATTTTCAAGAGAAGAGAACGAAAACGATGCCAAAATTAGGGGATCCCAGAGCAGAACAGGGCCACGGGGCAAAACAAAGTATCGGCTTTATTTCGTCTGCAATGCGTTGCGATCTATCGGGACTGGGTGAAATACCATTACCATACAGCACAGGGTCATGTCATGTCAGTCGGCGCCATTTTGTAGTTCAAGTTTCTGAAATAATCACCCACACTGGATTTTGCTCCTATATTTTAAATTTTTTTGTCAACTTCCAGTGGATATAAGGCCTATTCATTATTTATATTCACTTTGTTGAATGACGCATGTCACAAGGTGTTTTCTTGAAAGTCTTAAAGATATACTATTTTTATTTATTTTAATGATGTCAGTTTTGGTGGGACAATCCTAATTTGAAAGAGAATATTCGGGGTAGGGCAGAATGGGATACCCAGAGAAGAGGATGAAATGGCAAATGCCTGTAATGTGGCGATGTC